CGCACAATGGCAGCCTAATGCTCTCCAAGGGGATGGGATGAATGTCTCCAGTGTGAGATTGATAAAGTCTTATTATTATTACTATTATTAAAATGACTAGTATGAAAATGTGAAGAAGGCCAGAAAGATTTCAAAGAGCCACATATCATGCCCTTATCTAAATAAAGTCAAGAACAGATGAAATCCAAATGTATTTACTTTTTTAAAAAAAAAAAGGTTTAAAAAGACCTCTCTAAAAGATGGAGGGAACAGTCGGCCAAAATTGGCTGTGACACCATTCTGGAGAAGGGTATCAGCTGTGCTGCTGCCATCAACATTTTTGTTTTTAGATGTTTTAGCTTGGCCTGTTTTTCATTGCAGTCCTGTTTCTCTTACTGTGACTGTCTGTGCTCTCTTTTGTCCTCTGACATGGGTGCTGGCTCAGAGCTCATTTGCCTGGCTGTGTTTCCTGGACGGGCCGCCTGAGGAGCTGGTTAACAGTTGCCTCTTGTATGTCTGCTTCTTTCTCCATGTCTGCTTCTGCTTGACTCCAATCGGCCTCGGCAGATGGCCGCTCACACTGAGCCTGGTTCTGCTGGAGGTTTTCTCTATTAAAAGGGGTTTTTCCTCTCCACTGTCGCTACAAGCATGCTTGGTGTGAGGGGTTGCTGTACTGTAGAGTCTATGAGTCGATGCATTAAACTGGTTTAACTTAGATTGAAAACTTGGAATCAATTTGACTGTTTGATCTGGTTGAATTGTTTCTCTAAATTGCCTTGAGATGACATGTTGTGAATTGGCATCATATAAATAAACAGCATTGAATTGGAAGTTGGAGCATGAGCCATGACTTGTGTAGCTGGTAACGAAAGGCTCTGGAACACCCAAAGCTCTCCAGACCTGACCTTGTTGGTCAAAGACCAAGGTGATGGTGTGATGGAATCTGTAGGATATCAGTGATCTGCTGTAATCCGCAAGAAAGCAGGAAGCCCACATTTTAAGGTAATTAGATTTTCAAGTTGAAAGGCAGGTTAGTTTCCACTAAATAACCAGAAGAAACATGTATGATTGAAAAACTTTCACAGCACTATGACTGTTTAGTCTCATGCCTTATCAGGCTGTAATGCATAGTATTACCAGCTCTCTGCTGACTGGATCTTAAATTTCCCAGAAGTGCATCATCCTACAAGTATGGAGCCGTTCAAGTAGGGGTTTGTACGGCTAGACTACAGTACTGTTTAGGCATCGAGTCAGTCTAAAGTCTCTGTACTATTCTGCCTTTTTTTTCCCACCCAACTACAATCCCCCCCATTTTCCATACACCCACATGTTGATTCACTGGATCATCATAGAGACAATCCTACAATCACAGCACTGTTGGCATCTACATCGATGAACACAGAGAATCCCAAAAGTGAGGCCAGGCATGCGCTGCATGTGCCAGCTATATCCGGTCTCAAAATAGATTAGAGATGTTCCTCCGGCAATCGGAAACGAAGACAGGAGCGGTTGGGGGAATCATCTGCTCCTACACAGGCACTTTGTTTCTTTTTTATAAGCCAGGCTAAATTTCAGTGTCACTTATGTCGATATGAACAAAAAAAAACAATAACTCCTAAAGGGGGCCATTAGGAGAAATGGTTACATGTCAAATGTTTTGACTGCCTATTTTTATTTGTATATTTTGTAAGATTGAGATGAGCAGACTAGTTTATTTTAGAGGACACCTATACTGTCCTGATTTCAGCTTGTTTTAAATGGCTAAAAAACAGGAATTGTAAATATATTTTTGCTTAATATAACAGATAACTATGTACTTAGATTTGCTGTTGGCTTGATTGGCTGTTTTATTTATTCTTGTTTAGACTTAAAATAAGACAACCTTTATTGTCATTTTTTTTATACACTCTGTGTATACAAAATAGTTCTACTAAATTCTGTTTAGTACAGCTTTTCAGAAAGTAAGCCACTCAACCAGGCAGTCATCAGAGCACCTTGTTGGAGGATTTTCTTTCTAGACAAACTGTGTTCCTTCAACAATACCTGGAAGTGTTTGCCGCACTCCTACAATGACTTCCAGGAAAGAATCCTGCATGTTTTTATTGCAGTGTTATCGAAGAGATCACTCTGACTTAACGTTGGTAAGGAGGCTTGTTCTTCCTTTGACAGTAAGTGCTGTAGATCATAGATGAATCTACAAAGTTTATTTTTATTTCATATTGAGGAACATTATGCTGAGACTTCTGCACTGCAGTACTGAAGGTTCTCCAGATTACTAGATAGATTTCTTCATAGATTGTGTTGTCCCATTGTTTTTGGGACATATTGATTGCATTTCATAAAATATTTTTGTTTTTATGTTCTATGATAACAAGTTTCCCACTTAAAACACTTTATATTGTGGTTACAGATTGTATTGGCCAATTGCACAAAGGGATGTTTGTTTTTCTATAATAGTTTACTGATGTATTAGATTGCATTATCTTCACACTATGCTTGCTAAAGAGGTCTTCAGGCTGTTGCTTGATGTCTTATTGCAGTAGAAGCTATAGGGCACGCTGGAAGAGGGATTCAGAGCAGAGGAGTAAGGAAACTATATTTCTACATAAACCAGCTGTGTAATTTTTACCAATTTGAGATTTTCTAATATTGTGCAGCTCTATTAATGTATTTTCTATATGGTTTTATATTCATTTTTAGCCATCCATATTGATATTTTTTTAACAAAGATGTTATCTGATCTGAAGTGTTTGGGCCATGTATGAGTTTCTCCTTAAGAAGTAAATAAGAAGACGGATGAACAGCCTCACAATGACATTAAAATTGTAATTTAACAGCATTCCTATATTTAAAATACCAGAGTATTTTTTTTTTCTTTTGAAGATTGTAATTAATTCTTTTTTGATCGAGATGCTTTTTCCTCATTTGTTTTCCATCATGATTACAGCCCTTGAGTTTCATCTTGGCGCCATCTAAGGTTTAAGAGACTTAAGAGACACAAATTAATTCCAATTGATTGGATGTAGCATCCAATGTTGGTACTGATATTTAAACTGAGACGCCCAGTGGGACTAATTTAATATTAAGATTTATATTATTAACTTTTTTCTTTTTTTTTCTTTTTTTATACTAAAGATGACGATCCGGAGTGGAGATTTTAAACAGGCTGCCTAATCTTTTATATTTGTGACCAGCACAACTTGCACCATTAAAAAGCCTTTCTCTAATTGTAGATCTTTACCCTTTTAAAGATTTAAAACAATGGCAACCTTTTTGAATTAATGATATTATATAATAGATGAGGCGTTTTGTTAAACCCTCCTGTTATCAGGTAAAAGTCTTACTCTCTCTCTTCGTTTCTGCCTGATTGATCTGCAAAAGTTGCAGAAATTGTTTAACTCCTTGCAGCTCCCTCTGATGTCCTTTTAGTATCTTCACTAAATCCAATAGTTCTTACTTTAGTTACATCATCCACGCTGAACAGTGTTGTTTATCTGGATATTTACATCAGTAGACCTTTTCTTTTGATGGAATACTTATTTTTTCTTCCTAAAAGGAGTGCTGCCATGTTTGTAGTGAATCACCGTCTATAAAACCTTTTGTCTAGATCTCCCTCAGCTTCTAAATGTGATGCTGCTGACTGCTAAATTCTCTAAATCCTTTCACGCTCTCATGTTGATGAGCTGCAGTATAAGCAGAGCTCGTTGTAACTCACGGTCTGCTCACATCCTGAGATCTTTGAACGGAGCCGAGCAGCCGACATCTTGACCGCGTGTTTGTTGTAGCACAGATAAAACACACCGAGTCACATCCCGAGCTTCTTATTATCAATGAACTGGAGCCGAAACACAATCTGAACGACTGCTGTTTCTTTGTGGTGATGAACTGGATCAGTGTGATGTGTGACACCTGATGAAACCAACAAACTAAAGCCTTCTGCTTCTACATGAGAATCAAAACCCTTACTAGCATGCAACGTCCACATTTCTGCTGTTGGTTTCCAAACTATTTCTTTCCACTTTAGGAGAATCAATCAGCTGGTTTTAAAGAACAGACATGGAATTTAGCAGCCTTAGTTGAAAGTGATTCACAATGCAAAGCAGTTGTTTAAAAACTATAAATATGAGACTAGAATCATGCATATATACGGAGCAGCTGCTGGACTTTAACCTCCATTGCAGGAACACTTGTTTAAAAGGGCAAAAAAACTTTTGGGGGCTGATGCTGTGATGAATACTATATAAAAAATATTTTTACTAAATATAAGACTAACAATTATTCTTACTTTTGTTATTATAGTATTTTAGAATTCTATAGAATTCCAATTTGATGACATATTTTCTATTATGATGCATGTAGCAAAGCGACAGACATGTTGTTCTATTCTTTAAAGAGTAATACAGGTAGAACAAGCAATTACTTGCTGGTTTAGTCATACTGTCAGTTCTAAAAGTCATTAAATTGCTTGCTTGTTCACTGTAGTTTAAAATATGCAAACCTTAAAGTGAGGTGTGATGAGCTGTCGTTTTCCACATGATGACTGTTCACATTGTTTGTCGCTTCAAATGTTTCCGAACAGCCAGATTGTTTTCTTGCAATAAGAGAAAGGTGGTGTTGGACTTTTAGCCTGCTGACTGGCAGTGTGCAGTGTATCGTATATTGTATAAAGATGAGTTGCTCCAGAAATTATTTTTAGTTTTGAACATGGATTTTATTAACCCGGCCATGATTTGATTATAAAGATGATCTGAAATTAAATGCTGCTTTTCTTTGTTATAGATTCTTTTTTTATTATTATTGATTTTTTTTTTTTTCCTTTTAGAAGAAGAAATGTTTGAGGTATCTATGGAGCATTTCATTTCCTAGTATTATATTACAATGTCTAGGTCCACAAATTGTTACAGATTTTAAGTTAATGAATACATTCATTTGTGTTTTAGCCTTTTAATTAGAATTTAAATTTAGATCTCGAAACGGATTTTGATTGAATGTGTTTTTTTTTTTTGTTCTGTCTCTAACAGAAAATTTCAATACCACGCTCAGAAACTTCCAGTGAGCAGCAAACGTTTACTTTCGACCTGTCGAATGTGGGCAGAGATAACCCCCAGGGCAGCTTCGACTGCATCCAGCAGTACATCACCAGGTGAAAATCTAAAGCAGTCTCTCTTCTTCAGTTGCAATGACGGTTTGAGGTATACTGGAAAAGTTTTTTTTTTGAATTAATGTAGGACTTTCTTCATGGCTTCCTAAATTGATATGATTCCAGATCTGCAGACATGATGCATCCTTAATCAAAAAATAAATGGTGTCATGAAGAAAAGAGGCAATAAGAATCTTGTAATCTTGTCTTAGATTTCTGACCTGATTTCTTCTAAAAGTATTTTTAACATGTGCGTCAGGCAGAGTTCATTGAGGACTCCTGGATTCTAATCAGGCTTAGATTGCAGTCTGATACCCAAATGACTGAGCTCAGCTTTTACAGACTGGGTCTGCACCATCTCATTTTCTGCCAAAGTGGAGTAAGAATGAGAGAGAGTCGGTAACGGATCACATTTGATGCATCACTTGTCTGCTCTCAGTGGAACAGTAGTTAGTTGCAAGACATTGGAAAAAATTCACCCATTTTCTAGGTACATTCAGTGGAAAAAATGGTTTCTACAAAATGTAAATGTGAGAATACTGAGGTATATAAAAATTGCTGCTTTGACTTCCATCTTTTTCCTATCTGTGTTTTCCTCAGTCCCTGCTCTTTGTTTTGGCAGTGAAGGGAGCATTCAGCTGGATTGTCTGGGCAGCATCCAGGACAAGATCACAGTGAGAGCGACCGACGACTCTTACCAGAAGGCTAGAGAAAACATGGCCCAGGTTGAGGAGGAGACTCGCAGTAGGAGCGCTATCGTCATTAAGCCAGGGGGAAGATATGTAGGTGAGGAGGCTTCATATTGACCCAAACATGCTGTCAGTCATTGTATAATTAGCTTCTTTTAGCCTTGTGCTCAATAAGACTGCTCTATAATAACGTGGCCTCTAGTTTTAGCACCTCAACACTATAAATATGTCACACTACAAGACTCACCCTGAAAGCATCCTATTATTACGTAGCTTTGCTGGGATGGGGATTCGGTTTATTCTGGATCTGACAGGTTGTTTGGATCAAATACCAGATGACTAAAAGTCAGTATTCCTCATTGTCAAGAAGGAATTTATTTAGTATGAGATTCTTTCCCAAATAGCGCTCAGTGTTTTTCCATTATGATGATTCCAACACTTAAACAGAGCCGGTGCCAGACCCAGATCTTTACTAGCTCTTCTAAAAATAGAGATGGGTTTTCTAGAGCCAGAAAGCAGCTTGGTGCCACATTGTCATTAAAATGTCTGTTCTGCTGAAGAATTTATCATCTATTATTTAAAGTTTTTGAGGAGGATCAGATTGCAGACAGAACGTTTGGCTACACATATCATGCTTTTTTTTTTTTTTTAATCTTTACCCACATTTTCAATAAATGGGTTCCAGTTGCTAAACTAGTGTTAGCTTTTGGTTAACAGAAAGACTTTCCCCTGGAATTGTTTATTATCTGCTTTAAAAAATAAAACCACTATATATATATATATATATATATATATATATATATATATATCTGTGCCCCACTCATGTAATAAAGTAGGTCAATGTGCCTCATAGAAAAGAAATGTTTCGCTAAATTATATGACGCAACTTACACTGTTGGTCTCCAATCACCCTTAATCCTGTAGTAAATGCTCTTCAACTTCTTTGGCTTATTTTGTTATGAAATGTTCAAGAGCGGGCTTATTTTTGATAACTTTAAGGAATCAAAGTGATTATAATAAGGCAGCAATTTGCAGGAATACTTGGAGGGTTGATCTAGTTTTTTTTATGAGCCAGATATTTAGTTTAGTGGTCAAACTTCAACTGGATGAAACATTAATAGTGACTTCATAATAAAATCTTTGAAACAGAAGCTTTATATTTATATCTCAGTTTATTCACACTGGTTTAATTTAAAAATGTTTATTACTCTGAGCCAGTAAAGAAGGTACTGATGGAAAGTGTTGGGAGTAACTGTTGCATAATAGCACAGTTAGAAAGGTAATCTAATTATTTTTCATATATTGCTACATTACTTGCAATCTAATGCTGCCTGTTGCTTTAACTCAGTCAAACAAAGAGATTTTTCAAAACCTCACTCTCTCTCTTTCTGGAAAGAGATGTTTGCTTCAGGAAGGAGCAGGGAGCTGAGATACGCATGCATGACTCCGATTGGCTGAGGAGCTGCAATGCAGGTGGCTGTTCATCATGTCTTTAACACAGACAGAGAGCAGAGACGATGGTGCAGAGCCACTGATTCAATGTCGGCGTTCCTAAAGAAAAGGCCTCACTGAAGTCAAAAGCTAAATGTTTCTAGGATTTACTCATTATGTGCACGAACAAAAGAAGCAGCTGTATTCTAAAGAAGCTCCTCACATCAACTCAGCACTGACTGAAGCTAATGCTCTAAAACATCTGCCCAGATGTTGATCCTTACTTCCTGTTTTATTCTCTTTTTCTATTACAAAGTATATTTTGTTTTTGTAAATTGCTTTAAGAGTTATTCTTCATATTTTAAAGCCATTTGAAGGCTATCAACGTGCAAAAATGTAAAGTTTTTAAAAATCTAATGTCCTTGGTTGTTTTTGTTTTTTTTATCATAAGCAAAACTTATATTAGGACTGACTGTAGCTAGCTTTGGAAAAAATGTGCATTTTTTCTCGGAGAATAAAGATCCATGCCATAACTCAGATTTCCAAAAGTCAACTGCTAAGTTTAGCAGTTTATCATGCAGGTTAAAAGCTGAACAATGTTAAATGGAGCAACTTCATAGGTCAGTCTTCCTGTTGTCTACTAAAAGTGTAGCTCTCTGATGCAGTTTCCTTACAATAAATGTCACTACTTTATATTCATGTGACCTGGTAGAACCTGATGTCAGTTGGAACATTCAGTGCAAATTGAGCTAAATATAGTCTGGTTTCTGTGTCTCTAATTTATCGGTGCATCACTACTGTGTGGGCCTTCTTTTACTTATAACTATAAAGAAGTGTACTTATCCAAGAAGTAAAACTGAAAAGATGAAAGCTTAATAACCAAAGTATAAATATACTTAAGTGTCTTTTAAATCTTTGAATGTATTTCTGTTTTCTTTAGGTAAGAAAGTCCAGATCCGGAAACCGGCGCCTGGTCTTTCAGATGTGGCTCCCTCACGGAGGACATCTCGGCCTGTCCTCATCTCTAGCAGTACGCAAAAAAAATGCACAACTCAGCACCGGCCTCTCCGTGAGCGCCTCATACACCTGCTGGCCCTGAAACCTTACAAAAAGCCCGAGCTGATATTAAGGTTGCAGAAGGACGGCCTTTCACAGCTGGACAAAGAAGCCCTGGACAGCCACCTGCAACAGGTGAGTCATTCACATGTGAAGCAAACATCTACAACATTTGTCCTTTTTCCACTCTCGCTTAAATGTCAGCTTTCACCCCCCAGATTAAGTGGTGATCAGAGTGGTAACATATTTTTGTTCGTAGGTCGCCAATCTAAATGGGAAAGAAAATACCTTCACATTGAAGGATTTCATGTATAAGGAAGTCCAGAAAGATTGGCCGGGGTACACGGAGGGAGACCAGCAGCTTCTCAAGAGAATTTTGTCCAGGTATGTCTACATGGATTTTATTAGGTTTTATAAATAAATACTATTTTTTCCTTCTTGTCTTTGTTTTTTTAACCCCTATTTAGTCTGGTAACCCCAAATTAAATGCAGCTGTCTCCATATAATCTGACAGAGTTTGTTGTTGTCTATGGTTTCTGTTTAAGTAATCATCATCTCATCAAGCCTTTTTGAAACTCGAGATGATGAAATAAGCTATAAGATGATGTATGACTTATTTTGAAATGGCATTGGACCAATATTTGTATCAGTTTATACTCAAAGCTGTAGTATCTGTATCGGAAATGAGAAAATAGTTTTATGACGCCCCTAATAATCCTTGATTAACAGTGTTGGGAGCGCTAACACAGCTGTAAACTGTGGCTGTCACAGATGGACAGTTTCACAAAGGCCACACTTGCCACTGGACTACGTCATTCAAATGGATTTCTTTTTCTATCATTCCCAGTGCATCCAAGGAATTTACAGACCTACTTTTCCTTTTATAAACAAAAAGTGCAAATCTGCACATTCTCTCTCTGTCTTCTTTGTTTTTTTTGCACTTTGATCTCGGTTTGAGTTCATCAGCTGACTAACAACTAGAGCCTCCTACCCAATTTGTCCTCCCCCGCCTTAGTTCCTCTAGAGTTTTGGAACTCATGCAGAAAGTCACGCAGGAGCAGCAGAGCAACATGACTGGAACGCACATGATGCAACAGTGTTCCAGCACATGCTGATCTGTGTGTGAGGTGGCATCTGTCCAAGGTTCAGCCATATCTGTCTGCCTCTCGTCCCCTTGCCTTCCTGCCTGTGGGAGTGTCCTCTTGGCAGACACGCCAAGCCGCACACCCTTATTTAACCATGCCGATGCAGGGACGAGGCTATCTTAGAGCTCCACTACTGATTTGTCATCAGCTGTGGCTGTGCAACTGCAAAATGCTTCTGAACTTTGCAACCAAAATGTTCATTATTTCTGCAGTCTTACAATCCAGAGAAAGCAAACTGTGCAGCTTTAATGCTGCAAACCAGTGTGCATAAAAAAAAAGGATTGAGGTTTCTTTTTTATCTGGAGACCTCATTTAATCTTCTCGCAGAAGATCAGTTTGTGTGACTCGGTCAGCTTCATATCAGCACAGCTCCTTGGCTGCTTCCACCTAACAGTTTGCTCTCATGCAATATGAGCCTCTTTTTATACCTGGAGCTGTAATGTTTCCTTCTGGCTAAATAAAGGCAAAAGTGCTCCTGTTCCGAAGCAGGTGTGACTGGTGCAGTCATGCAAACTGTGTGGGGGTGTTCAGGAATAAAGCCTTTCAGGAACAAACAAAACCAGTGCCTCACTTCCTCTAAACAAGCATGTAGCTAGTGTTTTCCTAATCCCGCTGGCCAAATGGCATCCGTCCTCAAAGTGAGCTGCAGCACCATATTCTCTCGCTCTCACTTTCTTTCTGCAACTGCAGACTGTCAGGCCGCTGTCTCACTAGAATCCAACAAGCTGCCATAGCTGAAAAAAGCTATAAAATAAACACTCAGCTTTGTCTGAGATCAGAAGATAATAAACACTTTTTTTTTAAATACCAAACGGGGTTAAACTAATAGAAATATGTGATTTTAATTACTGAAGATTAGCATAATCTGCTTGTGATTAGAAATGCTTCTGTCAACTTCTTCCTCCTTCACAGTTGTCATAGCTACCCACTCAGCTTCTCACAGCAACTAACTTGTCTCTGAAGTCCGCTTCCATATAATTTTCTTGTCATCAAAAAGATGGAAGCTGAGGAGTTTTGGAGTTATGGTTGGACACCTTTTGCTGCATTTGCAATAGACTTTTTAGGGCATATCTCTAACAGATAGAATAGCATGAAGGATCTTATTTTTTTGGCCATTTTATATATTTCGATTATTTGCTAAATAGATCAAATGTAATTAACAAAGATGCTCAGTTGTATTTTTATGTGTACTCTCACTGGGCTGTTTTAACCCATTAATAGCCATTCTATAGTTGCTCTGGATGTGTGTTTAGTGATTCAGTTCTGCTGGAATGTGAACTACTGCATTCTTGAGAATTGTCCTACCTCCAACTGGTTTTCCATCAATTTTATCATGTATTTTGTTCCATCTACTGCTGCAACTAATGATTATTTTGCAAATCAGTTAATCTGTTGATTGTTTTTTTTTATTCAATTAATCGATTATTTATCAGATAGCCAAAGGTCCTTAAAATAATATTTTTTTTATTAAATTAAACTTTTCCATTTGAGTTCTGGATAGAACATATTAACAGACAAAAAATATTTTTATCTTTAATTCCAAATGTTTAAATATCTTTTTACGATTTTGGTTTAATAACTGCTCTGTCAGCTAAAGGCATGTTTTAAAGTCTCGATCCTCCTTTTAACGATTAATCGATCGATTACTAAGTTTATTATTTCAGTAACGGATTAATTATCATTAACCCAATTGCTTCAGCTCTAGTTCTATCTCACACCTTTGCTAAACCAAAGGATCTCCTTATAGGGATGATGCTCCTGTGTTTTCATATGGGACGGGAGTTTGCATTTTGTTTTCTGTTGGACATTTTGCATTATCCTTTTAATCCATTTTAACAGCAGAGCTGTTGATTTCCGCTTCTCCGCTATTTTTTTTGTAAGGACCCCAGATATATTTATACTAAAATGAGATTAGGGTACATACAACTTAACTATTTACTAGTTAGGTGACATTTGAATACAGACTGTTGCATAGCATTTAGTTATGGGGTTGAGGGTAAAGGGGTTTTAATACAAATTAATAATCTCCCCTTCTGTGTTCTTTATTGCAAAACAAAATGAAAACCATGTATAAAGTCTCCTTATCTTCACTATTAAGTGCAGTTTTGCTGCAAAATATTGAACTAGAATAAAATGAGGTGTGGATACGGTGACATACTGTAATGCCGAGAACCTTAAAGTGGATAAATATCTTCAGATGGTGCTAGTTTTTTTTTTAATCTACTGCTGTTTCATAATTTATTTTTCTTAAACTTCTTAATTGCATCTCCGCATATATCCCCCCTCCCATGAATTCCCACAGAAAACAGGCCCAAAGCAGTTCTGCCCCTGTACCAGAGAGTCCTCCCAAAGAGCTGGGATCCACTTCTCCATCTCAGGTGAGTCCATCTTCCCTTGCCCTCCTGTGGTGGCATTTCTTTGAATATCACATTCTTAATCTTTTTTTCTCTTTTTTATTTTGTTGTTACGGATTTCTAAATGCTTCTGTTTGGCTTGGATTACTAAACGAACGTCCAGCAGGATTATTAACATTTTCATTAGACGGGAAAATGAAACTGGCTCAGTTTTTAATGGCTCCTTCCCTTCAGGTTGTTTTCTCTTCAGAACACGACTGTTGCCCCATTCTTTCCGGACCCTCCCTTAGCAAACATAACATTAACAAGAACATACAGACAAACACAAAAAGACAGCGGTACTGAAGATTTAATTTATAAAAGTTTCTTTCTAAAAAGCCACATAAAGCTTTGTAAGCTTGGGTTCATGTGGTTTAAATCAGGAAGTTCTGCAATATACTTTTCATGCTCAGTGGACAAGTACAGTAGCTTTCATACCTACGCCATCCTGTTTGCCACCTTTTACACCCTTGAAGTGCTAAATATTGAACAGAAGTCAGCAGAATAATTCTTCCTTTGTTTTTCTACCATTGCGTTATTTTTATTATTGATGCGGCTTTTTAATAGGTTTATCAATTTTGGGGAACCGTGGTTTGGTTGGTTCAGATGTTTCTTTTTTCCCCACAGCAATATTATTATAAAGGAGGATTCTAATTATGATGTTAATTCTTTTAAGTCACTTATCAGTTTTGTATTAGTCTTTCAGTGTCTAATGGTGAAATAATCCATCTTTACTGTTTCAGATCGCCTTTCACCAGTGTCCAAAGTCTCTCTGTAATATCATTTTACCTGCAACAATCATGTGTCATCTTTTCCTCGCTGCTGAAATCACTTTTTTTTTATTTGATAGAAACGACCTGCTGCTGACTTCATCGACCCTCTTGTCAACAAAAAGCCCAGAATATCACACCTTGCCAACAAGGCTGCAACAGTCCAAGTGAACGGCAAGCTTAGCTCTTCCTGCAGCAAAGGAGATTCTGTGGCAGCGCCGTTGTCTACATCCGAAGGCGGCGTAACATCCAGCTCACAGCCACTCCCGATGCTGGACATCCCTCGTCCTTTCGAGGCTTTATCAGACGTCAGCAATGACTCCAGCAACAACGGGCGGGACTGCGACTCTCAGGAAGTGGCGCTGTCCGAGCGGCTCAGTCAGCCGCCGTCGCTTCCGTCTATGCCGACGGTGGCCTTCGCTCCGAGCATCGGCACATCCTCCTCCGGGCACACGGTGCTGGAAGGCCCACGGGACAGTAGCCCTATGGCAATTAATAACAAAACCAAAAAGACGTCAAAAAAGCATAAAGACAAGGAGAAAAGAAAGGGGAAAGGGAGGGAGAAGGAGAAAAAGGTCTGTCCGGAGCCTTTGTCTGAGCCTAAAGCAGCCTGTGAAATGAGCCTGAAGAACTCCAAGAACAACAGTATTGCATTAAAAAGCACAGGTAACACCAAAAACCTCACACATGTTGGTTCAAGTCATCAGATTAGGGTCCTTCTCAATAAAATACTACTTTATGTGGACAGGCATGTCAGTTATTGCAGAGTAGGTAATGAATTATGTGACCTGTGAGCTTCTCAATGACTAAAGTGAGACCCCTGCTGTTCAAAATAATGTGCAAATGTTCACTTCTCTAGAGAGTTCATGTATGAAGGTCACTCTCAACTAGTCAGAGTATCAAGTGCTCATTTCAGTTTATTTTGATGATTATGGGTTACAGCTGAAGGGAGAAACAAAAAGCTGACAGACTTTCTCGGTCACAAAGTAGGCTGCTGACTGCAGTGTTTGTCCAGCTGATGGCCACCAACTCCAAGGCCCATTGCTAAAGAAGCCTGATGTTCAGATTTTGAAAAATTGAGTGGATGGACATATGTGGTTAAATAAAAGTGCACATAAATACTCACAGATTTGAGAGAGTTTCCACAGTCAAATGATTTGGGAGCGATGCTTTCTGTAGATGTTGATTCAATGGGTTTTTATCAGTTTTAAAGTTGGAGCAAGCGTCTTCCAAGAAATAGTCATGCTTGATTTACAGCTATGGTATCATTGTGCTTGATAGGCCAGTAAACTGCCATGACCTAAATTCCATAGAGATTGTATTATCAACAGGACAATGGAATGCCAGAGCAACTTGGGTGTAAAACTGTTAGAAATATATCACACAAATAATCAATCCATGGCCTTTTTTTTATAGGTTTTCTGTAGATTTGTTTGAAAACTACAGATGTCGCCATTTTTAACAAGTTGTAATGCTTGTGCCCTTGTTTCAGATCTGAATGGGATGTGCAAAGCTACCAGTATTCCTTCATCATCACCTGAAGTTGCAGATTATTTATTGTGAGTATCAAATAATTTCTCTATGCTGGTACCAGATAAGGAATCTAGATTTCCCAGTCAGGAGTTCCTTTCCACAGTCCCATTTAAAGTTATTTAAATATGGATCTTTGGCAGTCCAATACCTTAAAAGATGTCTTTGATCGCAGTATTAACCTAGCTGCTGTTTATGGCCTGCCAAAAGAAAAAGACTAAATAAATAAAAATAAAAAGAAAGAAGGTTTGCAGTCGCAACAGATTCAGCGTCATGTCTGCTAGGAAGTTTGTTGGTTGTGGCTGTTGGCGTGAACGCAGAGAGGATTCATCACATTCACCTTCTCGCTCGCCGTATGTTGCGGATTCAGTCTGGCGCAGAACTGATGGTTTCCTTCTGTGAACCCGCTTTTATACCAATACACTGCTAATACTTCATTATACGGTAGCTGTAAGTTAGAAACACCTTCAGCGGTCGTTTTATGTTGCACTTCATAAAATGTAACCTTTACAATTTTGAATTACAACTAGATTCTTTACCAGACTGACGGCTCTTACCTAGATACTACATATGTCGGGTATGTAATGTTGCTGTGCAGTTCATCATTGCTGTTGGGCAGAAAACTTTCATTTATAGAATTAAAATAAACTTTTTTATGAATAAATACCTTTACTTTATAAAAAAGTATCCCACAAAGTTGTGAAAATAGCAGATGTAGTTCAACACATCATATTGGTTAATATAGCAGACCGACAAAATACAAGTGTTTTTAGACATACAAGGTTTCCATCCAAAGCAAGCACTTCTTGATCCACCATTAATTATGCATTACACACAGATCAATCAATCTTCATTACTCCAAAAGAGCAAAGAACAAAAACTTTCTTCTTTCTACTTTGGCAATTTTATTTTTATGTCTTAGGATTTGCCCCTTGGTTACTACGGCTCAGGGTCAAAGTAGATTTAAATTCAAAGGGGTCTGATCTGAAAAAATACACAGAGAACCTACATAATTGCCCTACAAATGTCATGGCAGTCCATGGCAAACCCTAAATTTCAACAATATGTGAACAAACATATTTTTCTCTCATAGTTCTTGTTCCTATCTACTTAAATATTTCAAGATCTATGTACCTTTTCATATCGGTCTTTATCCAAAAATAAACAGTAAGCAATTAAATATTTTATTGTATATATGTATAGAATTTAGAGATGCCTTTTGGTGGAACTTAAAAAAGGTTTTGCGTCACCTCTTGTGAGCCGGAAGAAATAAAATCCTGATAGTTAGACAAAAGGATTTCTAGCGCTCGACATAGGATGATCAGCCCCATATAGTTTATTAAGTAGCAAGAGCAGGAAGAGCCATACTGCTAGGGCTGGGTACCGAACTTCGGGTCTTTTATGGTACCGACCGAAATGCTTCGGTTCTACCGAGTATCGAAACATGCCTAGTCTTTCGGTACCAAGTTTCGGTGATTGGCTGTAACACTTAACGTGATTGCGTCATCCAGGAAAAATACACAGGTGGTCCCGCCTACAGCCAGGGTTGATGTGTATCTGTTGTGAACTGGTTGTGAGCGTTGCGGAACTCCTTTAAAATGCCCCCCAGGTCAAAAGTGCGGCTTCACTTTATTAAGACTGATGCTAATAGTGTAGAGTAGACGTAAGCAATTTAAGAGCAGAAAGTTGCTCGGTGTTTGACTGCAAGAAGAGCGGACCGCAACCAGCGCGACCATCCTCCTCTCAGCAGCCCGTGGGCAGAGCAAAGCCAGAGCGGAGTAATGCTGTAATAATGTAATAATGCTGCAATTTCAAACTGGACGCAGCAGGAGAAGCAAAATCACGTCTGCTGCTTCCTTTTTTGCTGCTTGTGCCAGCTTCTGACGCGCGGCTGAAGAAGCTTTGCTGCTCCGGCTGCGCGGTGCAAAAGTGGCTCTGATGCGCGTTGGGCGGAGCTACTCTATCCTTTATTTGCCTTGCAGCTATATTTGCTGTGATCAGTGGGAATAAAGTAGTTTTATTATGTTTGTAAGTGGGAAAATCCACCTGAAAACTTAATCAGTGCAGTCAGTTCATCCTGCCTTCCAATATTCTTTCTGTCGGAGCCGCTCAGACCCCCCCATACCAGCGGTGCGCTGTCAATAGGATCCCATTCAACGGGCTTGTTTGTCAGACATGGTAATTTTTCTAAAGTAAAACTGCTAAGTAAAAAGGTCCTCACAATGTTACAGTGAATATTAGACACTGATTTTTTTTTTTTTTATGTAAGAGGAAAAATGTAAATGGAAAAATCAGAGCTTAAAATAAAACTCAAGATTTGTACTTTTTTATGTTGAGTAATTTTCTTTTTCTTCGAATTGATATTATAAAACTGGTATCGAAAAAAGTATCGTTCAGGAACCGGTATCGAAGTGAAGGTATCGGTATTGGTACCGGTACCGAAAATTTTTGAACAATACCCAGCCCTACATACTGCTGAGAGCGAACCATCGCTGTGGAGCACAAGACTCTGAGCTAAGCGCGCAAAGATGCATTTCTGCACAAGCACAGTTGGAAGAGCAGAGTTTGTCAGAGTTAAGCGCGCAGTATCGGACGATTCCGGCTTACCTTCATCCCTGTTGCTGCTGCCATGTTCCATCTCGGTGGCATGACCAAACAGGTCACGGTAGCACGGCTAATACTGCTAAGCAGATTACAGCACAAGAATGCATTTTAAACGTCTGACAGGTCACCGCTAACATCTTTATTTAGTCTCATCCCATCAACGAAAACTCTCATTACTCGTCATGTTTTCATCATCAAACATCCATGTTTAGCTTGTCAGTTTTCGTTATTGTCATGAAAAAAGGGAGCGTCAACGAAATGCTTTCGTCATCGTTGATGAAAACAACACTGCTCTCAAGTTTTATAGGCCAGTTTTTGAGGAAAGCAGCCCACATGTAGTCTATTGATAGGCACCAACTGCTGTATATGGACCTGGAAAATCATTTGATATATCTAAAATCAAGCTAGCATTTTGGTAAAAGGATACATAGTGTTGCTTTCAGATGGTATAGGTCATGTAATAGTTTTGAACAAGATTGGTTCCTCCTTCGTGGGCAGAAACAAACATTTTAGAACTTCTTTTTTTAACAGCAAAGCTGCTTGCATTACTTAAATTTTGTCTTTTTTTCTTTAGATTACAGTTGCATGCCTTGCTGAGGGTCCCGCAGACATAAAATCATAAAATCCAATATCTAATATCAGGAGTTATAATGAGGACTGTTACACTATTAATTTAAAAATGCATTCACTGGACCCTTATTTAATTGGATTGGTGGATCCCTAAGGAGGGCAGCAGTTGGCCATAGTGCTGATAACATGTGACAAGTGCAACATAAATCTCCTGCAGGAGTTACTCTAGCTAACAATTGTGTGAAATGAATCCAGTGCTTTTTTTTCCTACTTTGATGAAGCAATTAACAAAAACCATTATACGATGCGGGAGTTTCTTGGCTAATATTTTTTATCATTTTCAATCTTAGGAAGTACACGGTGATCAACTCCCCGGAGCAGCGACAGAAGTATAAAAATGATTTCAACGCTGAGTATAGTGAGTACCGGGGTCTGCATGCTCGAATAGAGGGCATCACCCGGCAGTTCACTGTGCTCGACAACGAGCTGAAACAGCTTCAACATGGCACAGACAAGTACAAGGTACATGAAATATGAAAAATACAAAACTGACTTTATGACTGAAAAACAATAAAAGCATGGTTTCTGCAAGGCACAGAAATGTCATTTTAGTAGTTTTCCTATCAGGTCATTAAGTCTCAGACAATTACATAAAATCCACCCTCAGTTTGTACGTACCATTCATATATAGCCATTTTCCCCAAGTTTTCTTATTTGACTGAGTTGGTTCAATTTGTTTTGTGTGTTTTTTTTTTTTTTCCTCTTATTGAGGACTTCAGCTGTTGTATTGATAAATGAACTACACGCGTATATTAAGATGTATCAGAATATGGCTGTGATTGGTAACCAGTAGATCACACGCTGAAAATTATGGCTTTTTTTCCCCTCTAAGACCTTCTGTAGAATCAGTCTGCTGGAGATCTTAACATTTTAACAGTAAGACATGTAAATACGTTGATCATCTTAGTACTATGCACATCACTGAATAATTAATATAGAAGCGTATATCACATTTTAAGATGCTAATTTGTGAACAAAGGTCCAAAAATTAAAGTAAATACTTTAATTTAAACAAGGTACATTTTTACTACAACATACTTTTGTTATTGTTTTTGTTAGTTGTGATATTCTTTACATATGTAGATATGCATCTAACGTCATTCGTTGCTAGTGGGGCAATATTTTATCATTTTTGTCAGTCACCCCACAGAAGCCATTTGTTAAAGGGCTTGGTTTGATATGATATTTTGGATTGAATTAATTAGATTAGACATTTTAGCAGGTATTTTTCCAATAAAACACAGATATTTCAGCTTTCAGTGTTAAAGGGATAGTTCGGGATTTTTGACATGAATCTGTATGGCATCCCCATCACCAGTGTCATGCAATCACACTGACTTACCCCTGGCAGCATCCTGTGAGCAGAGTTCTCGTCCAGCTTTGGTCAAGCCGAAAGTAGTCCGGCAGGTTTGCTAGACCCAGTGAAATAAAACGTTTCTCTTCCCAAAACATTATGTGTTCAAAAGAGTGATATTTTTGCATCCCAAAAACATTGTAGTGGAAAAAGTCACACGTCGTTATCACTTGGTCCTATTTTCTCTCTGTTCGTATCAGTGCGCGCGACACCATGACCTGACAGCTAGGGCCTACTAACCTGACAACAGCCAGATGCATGTCTCGCTCCGCCCAGCTCCACTCGCATACGTATGTGAGTGGAGCTGGGCGGAGCGAGACATGCATCTGGCTGTTGTCAGGTTAAGGGCCTACCTGTTTGATTCGCGATTGTTTACTACTGGGGAAGATGTCTGACTACGAGAGCGACGAGGAAAACATCGACTTCCACTTAGAGCCAAAGGGATATCTTTATGAACCCGAGTACACTGACGATGAACTTCGACAAATGGAGTTAGATCGGGCAGAAAGAGAGAGGGTGGACAGAGAAGTGATGGAAGCTGAAGTCGGAGCCGCAGGAGCCACAGCTGGAGCTGCGATATCCAGGGTGGCCGAATGAATGAATGAACTTGGTTAGCTCTAAAGCTAGCTCGGTGGCGTTGCTTGTAAACGCAGCTGCTAAGTTAGCACTGAAATGAGCTGGAAAAGTTGAGCTCGCTGTCAGAATGACGGCGCGCACTGATACGAACAGAGAGAAAATAGGACCAAGTGATAACGACGTGTGACTTTTTCCACTACAATGTTTTTGGGATGCAAAAATATCACTCTTTTGAACACATAATGTTTTGGGAAGAGAAACGTTTTATTTCGCTGGGTCTAGCAAACCTGCCGGACTACTTTCGGCTTGACCAAAGCTGGACGAGAACTCTGCTCACAGGATGCTGCCAGGGGTAAGTCAGTGTGATTGCATGACACTGGTGATGGGGATGCCATACAGATTCATGTCAAAAATCCCGAACTATCCCTTTAACTGGTATCGATATTGACCCAATACAATAATAGCACTAATTTTAAATACTTTTATTAGTTATTTTGTAGTGCCGAATGTTAAAAAAGGCTTAATCAAGTGATACTAATGGAAATCAACATTAGGTACCAGAACACCTAAACCTTTTACAATTAACCAGTGGGCTACATAAAATTTAAGCAGCTGTGGATGGAAGTGGAGAATTTTGCCAGCAAACTGATACCAGAGATTTTAAGTTGCATTACAAACATACATTTTTGACTGATGTCGGACCGATTTAGGATTTCCCTACAAGTTGGCATTGTAATGCTTAAACCAGCTTTGATTGGATGCGGCCTGGCGTCATAAAGAATTTTAAAAATGTAGATCATGATGTAAAACAATACTGTTCCACATTTTACTGACCTCTTTCTTTCTGTTGGAGGAAAGCGTTACAGCTATAAACACCTTCATTAGTTGGAACGCATAATGGAGCCCATTCAAAACCAACACTGATCAAAAACGACCCGTCCTTCAACCCAGGGGTTACTTTCTCTGTGTATAAGTAATTATGAAGCATTCTGTGTGTATAACTAATTAAGAAACATAAAAGTGTAACTCATTAAAATACTCAACTGACAGCTACTTTAACACCCTAGTAGACATTTTGGATCTGCTAGGAACCGAAACAGAAAGAGATGCGGTAGATCCCAAAGTCAGGAATTAAATCCCAGAAGGGTTGTTTTAAAAACTAACAGCAGTATCTGTGACCGCTCTCATATCCTCTTATCTTTGACAGGCTCTGTTATGTGCTATCCCATGATGCACTGATGCATTTTAAGCCATAACTGTCGTCGATGCAAGTTGCAAATTCTCTTGTTTTACATTTAGAATAGTTATTTCTATCTTGTTTGGTTTAAGCTCCACAGGTTTAAACTTTGACATGTAAACATAATATCCAGAACAATGGCCATCTTATTGGGTCAAGAACGCTCAACATTTTCAGTCCATGAACCAACAGCATCGCTTTTGTGAATTATTGTTCTTTAGAAGGAAAAAAGGTATCAGTCCAAATCGCATTTAGAAAGGCCAGACCTGTAAGAACATTGGAATGTTGGCGCTGCCATAAAAAGAAAACTTTATTTGTGCATTTCTACCCATGATGAAGGAGTAAAACATGAGTTCCGTCTAATGCAGTTTATGTCCACACATTTAGCTGGACCTGCAGACCCAAAACAAGGTTTAACTCCCTAAATAAACAACTTCAATCAAGTAAAAGAGGAAAAACTGTTGTTATCCGCAGCCAGTGGCTTGATTTATAGAAATCTATAAACGCAGCACTAATGGAAAGCATAGAATAGGCCGGCTTTGGGTTAAATATAATTTACAGAAACTTGCAAAAACCTTGTATGAATTAAGATAATGCTGGGAGGATTTTTAGGTGTGGGTTAAACATAAATACATGTATAATGTTTTTTTTATCTTTGTTTTTCCTAACAGTCGATCCACAATCAAATACTTCAAGAGTATCATAAAATCAAAAAGGTAGGCATTTGTTTTGAATTTCAGTGAAAAGAACAAAGTAAGCAGATAATCAGGTCCTCACTCTGTGCTTCTTTCTCCACAGACTAATCCAAACTATAGCCAAGAGAAGAACCGCTGTGAATATCTACACCACAAGCTGGCTCATATAAAGAAACTTATCGCGGAGTACGATCATCAGCAACTTTAAACCTAGAGTCTGTTTTCCTGCTCTGCCTGGAAACCTGGCAGATGAAAGGACGGCTCTGGATTCCTCTTCCACTAACATGAATTACATGAAGGGACAAATCTGGTTCATTGAGGCTTGGCGGGACACATGATCAGTTTATTTTACATTTGTTTGGGGGCGTTTTTGCCGTTTATTTTCTTTCCTTTAATAATCTGGTTAGAATCTATGAGTGTAGATAAAGTCGATCCAGATAGATGGCTTCTCAGCAGCCTTCCCCTCCTTCAGAAAGTCTGAGAGTTCATCCGGAGATATTCCAAAACAATCTGCATCACATGCTTTTGAAACTGGATTAAATCAACCTCTAAGATGAAATTTGCATTTTCTACACCAAATGCATCTAATTTATGTTTGAATATTTAAAAAGTGAACAGCTCGTGAGTTTTCTCCACATAATATGCTTGCAAAGTTTAATCTTTTAAGTTATTTATTTTTTTTGTCATTTATGTCGGGGTGCAATTTTTTACACTCCTTTTGAAGAAACGAATCAATACTAATGCTGTCTATTACTTTGTGTCCTCACTTCATGAATGTCTACCAGTATTTTATAATTCAGAAGCTGCCTTTCCCTTCTAATTGTCAGTGTTGGCAATAACATCCTGTCTCTTTGTAGAGATGCAGAAATTAGTATTTGAATCAGAAAGAGATGCACCGAGTCAAACACTGATTTCTCGTGTTTGGCTTTGCTAAAATCAAGGCGATGTCTTAACGGAGCAGCAGACGTTCTCAGTCACTGTTGGAATGTAGGTTTTAATTTTAAAGCGGCGCCCTCCGTGTCTGGTCGATCTGCGGCACTCCCTTCCAGCAGTGTTTCCTACGAGGCCATGTGTTTGCTCCTAATTGGTACTCTTTCATGCTTTTGTAGCAAAGAATTCACAGTTGGATTGAAAGAAGTAATTTTTTTGATCAAATCTCATATCTTTTAAATTTACATGATCATCTTTTGTGTTAAAAGTTGTTTACTGTATGTAAAAAGAAAAAGATACACATATATTTTTTTTGCCTGCTGTTTGACCCTCTTTCTGGTCCGAATCAGATGACTGTTAAGAAGAAGCCATTGTTGTTTATGCTCCCAGTCCTTCATGTAGAAGGAGCGGAGTGGTTTGCCTTTTCAAAACGTGATGTCAATGAACGGTTCCTTCAAATGTCTCGCCTGAACACGCTCCCTCCTCCGCAGGCAGCAGGGGCGACCCAGCTCTAGTCGCTGAATGCATTTCTTATCTCCATCTTTTTATGTGAATAATACAAATCAGCACTTTCTCTCCTGATCTTGCTGTTACTGGGGTGAGGGGATTTCTTCGAAAGTCACTTTTTTCTGAATGCATGCTTAGTGAATGTTACGAGCAGCCTTTTATCTTTACTTTGGGAGGGGGGGGGGGGGGGGTGGGCTTGCCCTAGGGTATTAGAATCTAAGCTAAGGCATTGTCTGGCTGGATTGGCGTGTAATCAGTTAGTCAAGGTATACCAAAGTGCTTATCAGGCAAGATGGCACACATAAAAACGCTTCACCAAATGTTGGTAAAGAATGATGTTGCAGTATTTACCTTCTGTTACCATTTCTTCACTCTGTGACTCATCGCTCGGCACAGAAGCTTCAGTATTTTCTAAAGAGGATGTCAGAAAAAAACTCACTTTGATTCTGATTTCTAGTAACACTACATCTATAAAAGACTTGGATTTGATGACATCTGGATTAGAGACGTTAACGGTCAACACCACTATCGGGAAGCGCGCCCGTTACACAAGGAATGCCTTTGTCCTCATCGTTGCCGATTGGTTTGTAGCGCATCTGTGTCACGTTTTTTTTAATCCAAGGTGAGAATCGATCAGGGGAATACGTTTAGAGCCAGCATAGTGCAAACGGTCAGTGAAGACACGACAGCACAGTGCCATTTGTATGAGCTGATAGTGCCAAAATGACCTGTTGTATAGTTTTCTCTTGTTTGATTATATACATGCTGCTTTGAAAGCAAGCAGGGCTTTGAAGATTAGTCATGAAATGTCAGCGCTAAAATCCAAAGTATGCTTCTTCTTTTTTTTATTTGAAAACCACAAGGGACTGGGACTTAAAATGATTTTTGTTTCAATAAAACTCTTTAAAAACTATCATGTGGGAAACTCAGAATCAGTTGTGGTTTCTTTCAGAGGTAATACCTTAATAAGGTCCCTTTGATGGGTTTGGAAATATGATCCATGGTATCTTGCAAAAACTGTTCATTCCTTTTTCATTATTTTACAAACACTGACTTTAAAGGGAAACATTTGGTTTTGTGACTCAGAAGACCTTCAACATGTTTGCGTTTCCCCTACATCTCCTATAGCTAAACCACACTTCCATAAATGTTCATTTATGTATTGCCTGTCCAGTAGTTATCCTGTTGATACATTCTCCTACCCTAGCTATGACTCTTCCTGGTTACTTAACCAATCAGTCCTCTCATTGCTTTGCCAGCTGGTTTAGACAATACTCCTGAGAAAAAGCATCTCTCTTAAATAAAAAAAGCTCTTGTTTTTCTACTCCAAAAATTACAAGAAAGTATTTCAAGCTTTTCTAATAAAAGCTTCAAGTAATTGGTTAAAATTGTGACGAGACACCTGTTACAGCTCCCTGCCTGTAGATGGCAGCAGGTTTACATTGTAAATCTCTTCACATTTTTGTTTTTCCATGCAAGATTACATTAAGATTTAAAAAATACTTGATCTCCCACACTGGATGTTAAGTAGTAGGATGTGACACACTAATGACCAAACCATAAGGGATTGTTTGAGGGTATCAGAGTTTTAAAATCTTATTGGTGTACATGAATGTTTTGTATCTTATCAGCAACACAGTCTATAAATGTGTTTAAAAAAAAAAAGAAAAACTGGAGCAGAAGATGCAATGCAGAGGAAAACCCTTGCTGCAATCCGACACAGATCCCAGAAATCTTCATAGCAACCTGTGATCCAATGAGCTTAGCTGGTGCCTGAGCCTTGCTATGCTGGCTCCCATCCCAATGTTGGCCTCAAAGCAACTCGGGGAGCTGAAGGGGGCCTGGTCAGTGAGTTCAGCGTGGCAGGCTGCCATCTCCTTCTCCTTAACATACAGAGCCATGTACAGGTGCTGGTCATAAAATTAGAATATCATGAAAAAGTAGATTGATTTCAGTAATTCCATTTAAAAAGTGAAACTTGTATATTATATTCATACATTACATACAAACTCATATATTTCAGATGTTTATTTTGTTTAATTTTGATGATTACAAATGACAACAAATGAAAATCTCAAATTCATCATATCAGAAAATTAGAATATTACTGAAGACCAATAAAAACAAAGGATTTATAGAAATGTTGGCCAACTGAAAAGTATGAACATGAAAAGTATGAGCATGTACAGCACTCAGTATTTAGTTGGGCCTCCTTTGGCCTGTATTACTGCAGCAATGCGGCGTGGCATGGAGTCGATCAGTCTGTGGCACTGCTCAGGTGTTATGATAGCCCAGGTTGCTCTAATAGTGGCTTTTAGCTCTTCTGAATTGTTGGGTCTGGTGTATTGCATCTTCTTCTTCACAATACCCCATAGATTTTCTATGGGGTTAAGGTCAGGAGAGTTTGCTGGCCAATTAAGAACAGGGATACCATGGTCCTTCAACCAGGTACTGGTAGCTTTGGCACTGTGTGCAGGTGCCAAGTCCTGTTGGAAAATGAAATCTGCATCTCCAAAAAGTTGGTCAGCTGCAGGAAGCATGAAGTGCTCTAAAACTTCCTGGTATGTGGCTGCGTTGACCCTGGACCTCAGAAAACACAATGGACCAACACCAGCAGATGACATGGCACCCCAAACCATCACTGACTGTGGAAACTTTACACTGGACTTCAAGCAACGTGGATGAAGTGCCTCTCTTCTTTTCCTCCAGACTCTGGGACCTTGATTTCCAAAGGAAATGCAAAATTTACTTTCATCAGAGAACATGACTTTGGACCACTCACCAGCAGTCCAGTCCTGTTTCTCTTTAGCCCAGGCAAGACGCTTCTGACGCTGTCTGTGGTTCAAGAGTGGCTTGACACAAGGAATGCGACAGCAGAAACCCATGTCTTTCATACGTCTGTGTGTGGTGGTTCTTGAAGCACTCACTCCAGCTGCAGTCCACTCTTTGTGAATCTCCCCCACATTTTTGAATGGGTTTTGTTTCACAATCCTCTCCAGGGTGCGGTTATCTCTCTTGCTTGTACACTTTTTTCGACCACATCTTTTCCTTCCCTTCGCCTCTCTATTAATGTGCTTGGACACTGAGCTCTGTGAACAGCCAGCCTCTTTAGCGATGACCTTTTGTGTCTTGCCCTCCTTGTGCAAGGTGTCGATGGTCGTCTTTTGGACAACTGTCAAGTCAGCAGTCTTCCCCATGATTGTGTAGCCTATAGAACTAGACTGAAAGACCATTTAAAGGCTTTTGCAGGTGGTTTGAGTTAATTAGCTGATTAGAGTGTGGCACCAGGGGCCATCAATTTTGAACCTTTTCACAATATCCTAATTTTCTGATATGATGAATTTGAGATTTTCATTTGTTGTCATTTGTAATCATCAAAATTAAACAAAATAAACATCTGAAATATATGAGTTTGTATGTAATGTATGAATATAATATACAAGTTTCACTTTTTAAATGGAATTACTGAAATCAATCTACTTTTTCATGATATTCTAATTTTATGACCAGCACCTGTATACTGACATGTTTACACACACAGGAGAGCTGCCCTCCCTTTCTGTGTTTCCAAAATTTTTGGTTGTCAGATTGAATTTATTTTAGTCTGAATTTCTGAGCCAAATAGAAATGGATCAGCCTGTAAATACAGGCTTGTTTTAATTATTAAAAGCTACTGTGCATTATGCTTTAATACGTTTGAAAGCATTTGTAAAAGTTCAGGCCTGCACATGTGACTGCAGTTAGAAGGGTAATGCACAGGAACATCGTTGTGAAATTTCTCTGCTCTGCGATGCCGGCAAAGCCAAATGTCCTTTTTACAAAAGGACCTAATACAGCATGGCAAATTGATTTTTCTTCTTTCACTTTTATAAAGGAGGCAGAGGCAGCGCTTCTCCCAGCTTTTAACAGAATGTGGTGCATTGAGTTTTGCTGTGAAATCATCTCTATCTGCGACAGAGATTTCAAATCTAAGATTTCTTTTCATTTTTCCATAAATTGGAGTCCATAGCCACTAATTTTCTAACCTTTCTTTTATTGTTGATAACCAGTGAGGCTTTCACTGCTATGAATCCTGTATATCTGTCAGGATATTTGGAGAGCACTTTATATCCATGATTTTAAGCAACATTTTACATCCAACTCTTGTGCAGAAGCCACTTTATTGTTTAATTTGCACTTAAGCTGACATTTTTCCTAATCAAATTTGCATTGGGTGAAGCGTATTTGTCATAGATGGTTGATATGAACTATAATCTGAGATCACTTCTCAGCTGCAGATGACCAAACCCACAGCACAATATTGTCTCTGTTTTAGAGCAAGGTTCTTCGGAAAAAAAAAAGTTTGGCTTATTTCTAGACTAGACTAGACTAGACTTCTTTATTTGTCATTTTGTATGCACAGGGTGCATACAGAACGAAATTGCGTTACATACAGCTTATGAACGTTGCATTGATATTTCAAATGGCACGAGTTATAGAAAAATACAAAAAGTGCAGCAGTGGTCAAAGTGTGAACAGTGCAGAGGATAAGAGACAGTGTGCAAGTTGCAGTGGTTCAGTGCAAAATGGCATTTGTGCAAAAAATGCGTTATTGAAAAATACAATGAGATGAACAATTTAAAGGGCTAAAAGTTAAAAGTTCAGCAGCATTTGATGCCCGATAATGTGCAATAGGTGCAGAGTTCGGATTGTGGATCAAAGGTTCAACAGTCTGATGGCAGTGGGGAAGAAGCTGTTGCACAACCTGGTGGATCTGCAGCGGATGCTGCGGAACCTCTTTCCAGAGGGCAGCAGGGAGAACAGTCCATGGTGGGGGTGTGAGGGGTCTTTGATGATATTACGGGCTCGGGACACACAGCGCTGTGATGAAATGTCCTTAATGGAGGGAAGAGGAGCCCCAATGATTCCTTCCGCTGTCCTCACCACCCTCCTCACATTCTTCCAGTCAGAAGCTCTGCAGCCTCCACACCACAGAGAGAGACAGCTGGTCAGAACGCTCTCTATGGTGCTTCTGTAGAAGGTTGTGAGGATGGGCGGGGGCAGGCGGGCTCTCCTCATCCTCCGCAGAAAGTACAAGCGCTTCTGTGCCCTCTTCACTAGAGATGAAGTGTTTACAGTCCAGGTGAGGTTGTCCGTGATGTGCACCCCCAGGAACTTTGTGCTGCTGACCACCTCCACAGCT